AGATCTTTACATAGTTTGCGTAGCTATTTATCTCTCGGAAATCGTTATTCACATCTCCAAGACCTTTTCGTAGCTAAATCTTTGACCAAAAAAGTCAATAGTATTGTTTTAATTACTTAATGATGCCCATTCTTGAAACATGATTCCAACTTCCATCGTAATTGGATAACAAATTAAGAAGATTGTTAACCAGACCAAGTTGCATGTTTTCATTTTATATTTACTGACCCATGACAGACCAAAAGAGTCATAAATATCCACAAAAACATTGTGTATGTCCATGCTACTAGATTATTTTTCATAATAACTTATCGATCGATTAGTTTGTTCCAAAAAAACAGTTACAAAAACAGGTTAGGCTGGACCGGGTTGGTTTGAATGTTCCCATCCAGATTTACACATTTGATTATTAGTTAGAAATTCTGCTGAATCTGTTATACATTTTATTAGTTGGTTAGACAATCGATTTTTATAGTACATAATACATATAGAATAATACATTTTATATTACAAAAAAAAAAATGAATTGATCTTTGACGCTTTTCGAACATCAGCTTAGTACCTAATTCTAAAATCTCCGAACACACGAAAAACTAGAGATGGCCCGAGTAAGATCGCAATAGAACAGGTTTGGACACACATTTCGAAACCGCAATTCGTAACGGGCCAATCCATATGGACTGGAACAAAGTTTGGTCTGCTACAAGATAGCCCACTTGGACGCGGGCTGGCTCGTCTAAATTTTTAATTTTGACTAAATGACTTTAAGTTTAGTGTTTTTATGTGTTATTCTTGTTTCTATATTTGAGTTAAAATTTTTGCTTAAATCATGAATACATATTTGGTTTCATGTTTATTTAAATATGAATGAAGCAAGTTAGTCAAACAGAAAAATCCACGAATACATCATTTCTATCGACCAATTTTTTACGTTTAAATCATAAATGCAAAAGATATAACTTATATCACTAACCAAATTTAACCAATAATTTATTTTCCATTTATCAATTGCAAACAAAACAAAAGAATATCATCAAGTTATCAATTATAATACAACATATATAATAGATGTGAGCCTAACTAAATAATGAAATATAAAAGTTTACGTACAAGCAAAAAAAACATATATAATACAAATTGATATGGTACTACGACAAAACTCAAATTGTGTATACACATATGTTATGTTAATCAAACAGAATCAAAGCTTTAGGAGTTAAATCAAAGTTTTTATATGTTATGTTGATTTTTCACAAAAACAAGTCACACGATCCGCGGATTGGCCCGTAAACCCGCTAGTTTAAGTGGGTTGGATTTGGACATAGGTTTCAAAAACTGAAATCTGCGACGGGCCTGTCCGTGCGGACTGAAAAAAATTAAAACTGTCATGAATTGGACTACTTGAACGCGAGCTAGCCTGTGTTAGACCTTTACATAAGACTAATGCAAAATAACAAACATAACAAATTAAATTAAGATACATCACCAAGTGGTCAGTTAATTTAATAGCAAAGCATAATAAAGCTAAATCTTCAGTTAATTTAATAGCAAAGCATAATAAAGCTAAATCATAAATCTTACTTTCAACATCAATAATAATAAACATACAATTACAATTATGTTTATGAAAAAAATGGAACCCTGCAAACTACTTGCCTAGTTGCCCAAATGCCAGAAAATAAAATATATATGATGAGACTAACTTCCTCTATCGAATACTACTTAATAATGGCTTTATTTTAAAATATTGACGTTTTTATGCTTAATTGCGTTTCAAATCAATTTCCATAATCTTTTTTTTTCCTGGTCGAAATCAATTTACATAATCATTCTATTTTGTTGTGTTGTGACTTGTGACCGTAATTCCAAGTGGAAGCTCCTTTGATTTAATTAATTAATAAGCAACCGTGGGATGACATATATTCTCTTTTTATCTATAAAATAATCTATTTAATGTTGTTATAAAGTAGTATATAATTTGCGTTGTTTGATCAATTATTTAATGTGTTCTTATTAGGTTTGTTAATTGACCCTTTTCTATAATGCTAATATGTCCCTTTCTAATTTATTATTCCATTAAAGTAGGTGTCCTTGATTGTAATTATTTATATATAGACAGAATAGTTTTAAACCAACAAATAATGCTATATAATATAATTTTCCAACTAATAAATAGTATTATGATTAAAGAGTATAATATGGTGCGTTCAAATTGAACAACTTGAAAACTATATGTTAGCTTTACCGTACGTGTGTGTTCAAATTTAATATGGTTTCGTTGTCATTCGGTTTTAACCAATTTGGGGATATTTTGTATTACATAGTATATTAT